CCCCCCCCCCCCCCCCCTCTGTGTTTGCTTTCATTCCAGTGTTATGGGAGTAGTGGCGGCTCAAGATTACATGTTTCTAGTGCTCAGATGGCAGGTTGTATTTAAAGTCGGACCAATATAGACCAGGCGGGACTGAATCAACTCTGCTGTCTTCATCCACCCGCCTCATTCATGCAGCAGTGTTTACCTTTAGAAGGCAATGGCTACAGCTGAACCTTGAACCGTTTCTGTCCCCTTCTACCCTCTAGTCCTACAAAGCTGTGTAGACACTTCCATTACCTGTGTGCAAATACTACATGCAGAGAGGCAAAGTAAGACAACAGAGGACAAGATGTGTAAATTAAAGTAGTTTCAGGTCACATAAAACATGTAAGATATACACATTCTGCACAGTCCCTTGATGCATTTATGTGAATGACAAAGACATAAATATTGAATCTTTTTTCTCAACCTGAAAGCTGGTAGTGTTTTTATCTCCATAGAAATTAGAACAACAAAATCCTCAAGATTTTGGATAAAGTGAATGATATTTAAAATGTGTCATTTGTAGTTGCCCTAAGATTAACAGTAGAACATTGTTATTATTTTGTTTACTGAACTTCTGGTTTATGCGTGTGTCAATCTGCTTCAGTGTTAATATTTCTTGATTTATTTTATGATTATTTAAAGTCATATGAGGAAGGAAGACAGAGGAGGAAGTGAAGGGTTTTTCATGAGGCTTTCGGTGGTAATGTCGGTTAACATAAAGAGTGTTTTGTATGACATGCAAGGATTGAAATTTGCCTTGAGGTGGTTTGTGAGGCACACTGAAGTGGTTTTCTGTTGCATTTCATACGCAAGAAAGAGCTTGCATGCAGATTTTGGCAGCAAATCCAAGTCTCATGATGTCATGGTTGGTAAATCATGATATTAATTTGTTAGTGTTAAATTCTGTGGTTACCCCTCTCTCTCTGTGTTTCTCTATAGCTGCTGGGAATGAGTTCGCCGTGACTCTATCAGCGACCCAAAAAGTCAAAAGGTCAAAAGCCTTCAGAAGCTTAAAATTTAATTTGATGAAATTGAGTTTGAGTTGTTCATCCACATGTTGCTGCTATTTTCTGCATCTCTGCTCATCTTGCTTTTTCCCCTGCTATTAGGTTTTTCTCTTTTCTCCACGTTGTGGCACAATTTCTTCATCATCCAGAAATTATTTACTGATGCCAAGTGGTAAATTTACTCAGCCTCATTTGCACTAGTCCAGTGGTTTTTAGAGGAAGTGCACATTTTCTCCTCTTCCCCCCCACTTGCCAGAAAATACAAGTGGATAATTTATGGTGCTTTGGTGGGTTCTGTCGAGAACCCCCTTGTGTGAGGCAAATGTCACAGCTGCTCCCTATGATGTGTTCCCTTTTTCTTTTTCGAGTCCTGAAGGTCTCATTTGATAGAACATTAGTGGTTGAACTCACCCCAGAGACTTTTTTGAAAACCACTGCCTTTACCCTCAGAGCCATATCTCGGCTGCTTGTGTTTCAGTTTGGCATTTCACGACATCTCTTGGGTGCTGAACTTAGCAAAACCTCCAGCAGTGGAGCAGTGCCCTCAGGATTAAAGGGTAACATACTGAAATGTTAAGTCCACTTTAGCTCATGTGCAACCTCAAAAGGATAGACCAAAAGTCAAACGAATCCTCTCGGTGCTTAGTGTGTTTGCTTTACGCTAGTTGCTCCATCTGGCAACTAGTTAACAATTTTCATTCAAAATAAAAGACATAATGTTTTTCTCTTTAGTCACCATCTTGCTGAAACTAGTGCATTAATCTATCTGCA